ACAATAGCATAGCAACAACATAAACTAATTAGTATATAGATTAAATAACATAATTATAACAACAAAATTTTGGTAAAATGATTACGTACCGCTTGATAGTTATCATAATAAATACCCTCTTCTTCGAAAATATCGACCATTGTTTCAGGAAGTCGGATAGAGATTCGACGGGTTTTGAAGAAAAAACCAAAGAAATGTTTTCTGATGGCAGTTCGGATTTTGCCGCAACCAACAGACCACTATTTCCTAGGTTTTTGGGTGGAGAGGGATGGATAGAGAGTTAATCTTAGGGTGAGAAAGAAGAATGAGTTTTGGTGTGAAGAAGTGACTAGGAGGGGAAGAAGAAGTTCTCTAACTAGGCTCTCTCCTTCTTCTTTAAGCTCACTTCCCCTTTTATACCCAGATCAACGGTTTTTCACGCTCCCAGTTCACGGTCGTGAACTCAAATCCTGGACCGTGATCCTGGAAAAAATTGCGTCGTTTCACTGAAGCTCTTCACGGTCTGGAATAGATTATCATGGTCCAGTGATCGTGATTTCTTGTAATCCCATGAGGCTATAAAAATTCCTTGGACACCTTGCACTTCACGGTCCCTACCTCTTTATCACGGTCGGCCTCACCGTGAATTTCTGGCTTCCATCGTGATCCTCGCTGTTTGCTCCCTTTGATCTGCTTTCGCCCCTTTTCGTCCAAAATCGAACCTCACGAAGTGAAAATGCCTCCATCATCTAAGGAATATGGGGAGAAAATGAGTACAATTAGACCCGAATCAAGTAGTTGCCGCCGTTGGAGGGAAGTTCAGAAAGAGATTTGTGTGGTTGAGAGAAATTCGGGAGAGGATCTATGATGGAGATGGATTTTAAATTTTTGTTAATTTGTGCAGTTAGCAGAGACATAACAAGTAACTCAACTTATTTGGGACCCACAGTCAAATCTGTTGCGACAAGGAAATATTTTTTTATTAGATGTGTTAGTCAATTCGACAGAAAAAATTGCCGAATGCCCAATTTAAATACATAAGTGGGATTCGATGCCCTATTATAATATAGTTGATATAGTTCCCTCAATTCACAAATTTAAGTGGTACTAGAGATATTTTACCCTACCAAAATACTCCAATCGTCCAATTCACGAAACGAAACAACAAACCACAACCGTTAGAAATTCCATGTCCTTCCACCTAATCGAAGCCGCACACGTTAACCAAGAGAAGACTAGCTGGAACCATGACACGAGACCTGTGTTGTAGGACGTCTGTTGGCGAAAAAAAGAAAAGAAAATATACGAGGAAGGATGCTATGCCTTGTCATTTTTAAGGGTTGAAATGAGAAACGGAAGAAGCCTCTCTAAGAGGTCGTTTGGAAGTTGTGATTTCAAATAGTTTATTGAGCTAATTCATGTATTTTTGAGATTCACTCTTTTTTTGTTGTTGCTTATATTGAACTAGAATACATGGGGTCCCATCACAACACTCAAAATTAACTTTTGTGCTTTACAAAAAAAAAAAAAACCACAATCTAAACCTCCAAACAAGGTAACCTAATACATCAAATGATAATACTCTAATTAAGCCTATGTTTGGCCCGACTTTTAGAAGTGCTTTTCGGCTTCAAAAGCTGAAGCAGGGCCAAACACCTCTAAAAAGCTCGGCTTTTGAAAAGCCGAAAAGCGCTTTTGTATAACATAAAAGCAGAAGCTCCGATTTTGAGCTTCTGCGAAAAGCTGTTTTGAAAATACAAGATTATCCTTACCATATTTTAATTTTATTTCAGAAAATATAATTTTCCTTCATTTGTATCATTTTAAAAATAAAATAAATTATAAAATCATATTATTTAATATAAAAGAAATCTAACAAGATCCATTTTGACTACTTTTTATTGTTTAGAATTTTTATTCATAATTTATATTATAAGTCCTTTATAGTCATTTTACACAAACTCTCATATCAAAAAACACTTCTAATAGTTTTATAGCCAAACACTCAACTGCTTTTTTTGAAAAATACTTATCTAAAAGCACCAGCCAGAAGCTGCTTCTGCAAAAGCTACCGCAAGGCCAAACTAAGGTTAAATCAATACATCAAATGCTAATACACTAATTTACTCAATACATGAATTTGAAGAATCACAACTTCCAAATACTATGTTTCGGCAAGAGTTGTTATCAGATAAGTTAGATTTGTTAAAGTTGGATAATTTGTTTTGATTGTGTGAGTTGTATTGAGGCCAAAGCCTCGCAAGTTTCTTTCTCGTCCAATGACACTATTTACATTGAACCATTTGACTTGGTTCATACGAATCTTTGGGACCGTCTGTCGTTACTTCTTGCTTGGGATTCAGGTACTTTACACTATTTATTGATCACATTACACAATATACTTGGGTATATTTTCTGAACCGGAAATCTGAATTGATATTAGTTGCAAGAGAGTTCATTTATATTATCCGAACCTGATTCGGTAAGACAGTAAAGGTTCTGCGGTCGGACCCACGAGGGGATTTTGTGTCAAATGATCTCCTTCTATTTTTCAGGACTGAGGGTATTCTTCTGCGGCAATCTTGTCTAAGGGTTTCTCGACAAAATGGCATGGTTGAGCATAAGCATCGACACGTCTTGAAACTCACGCGCGCTATTCTCTTCCACTCTCGAGTTTCGACGGGTTTCTAGGTTGTTGTGGTATATCCAATAATATATTTGATCAATCGACATGCATTAACTTTGTATGTGGGGGGCCTACCACTAGGGGTGGGCACGTGGATGCTTAATCCGCAGATTGATATTGATCCACCCGCAAATAACCCGACCCACATGCAATGGGTGATTGATGTGGGTGGATTGTGGATTGTTAAATCTCCCACCCGCACTTATGTGGGTGGGTGGTGGGTGGATTGCGGGTCACCCGTATGACCCGCATCCTATTTTTACATGGAAAAATGTTGTTTCTTATAGTATCGAATATTCATCATATTTTTGAACTGCACTACAGTCTGACCATATACTGCAAAAGGTGAAGAATAAAGAATAGTTTTGACTACTATTATTGGTTATTGTGTTGTGCAATATCCATTGGAAATAGATATTGGTATGCAAATTATTGTTAATATCCATTAAATATTGGGATACAAACTATAAATTATTAATTGTATCTAAACCACAAATTATTGATACAATCTTGCTAATTTGCTATGAACTTATTATAAATGTTAGTCAATATTTTTTAATGGCTAGTTGGAGAATTGCTTTTGCGGGTTAACCCGCGACCCAACCGCATCCATCCGCCACCCATCCAACCCAACCCGCATAAGTATGTGGGTGGATTGTGGGTCACATATATTCCAACCCGGTAGTAAGCGGGTGGGTCAATTTTAGATCAAAATACACCCAACCCGCCCATTGCCCACCCCTACCTACCACAATCACTCAAAGTTTAGATTTGTTATCAATTTCAATAAAAAGTACAGATTATTCACAATCACTCAAAATTTTGTGCTTTACAATAAAAACCGGTAAATTGCAAGGTTGGTCACCGAGTTTACTAAAAAGGTTCACGTTTGGTCACTAAAAATATTTAATTCCATTCGTGGTCACTAAGATTACTTAAACGTTTCAAATTTGGTCACCTTCCTTCCAACTTTGTTAACTTTGTCTGATGTGGCAGTCAACTCTCAAAGTTGACCGTTGACTTAATGACGTGACAATTAAAAAATAGTAAATAATTTTTTTTTTTACAATTTCAACTCATTTTCAGATTAAAGTATAATAAATAAAACAAAAAAATATTATAATTACCTACGCATAACACTCTGCCGCCTCACTTTCCATCTCCTTAACCGCCGACAGCTTAAATTTCCCGTCGAGAAGCTCCGTCAGCCACCAGCTCCTCATCTCCGAGGTGAACAGGCTGGTAGAATTTCTCTTGAACGGCCGATACCGGACAGGTACTGACCGCCGGACAGAGTATTATATTATAAGGTAAGGTTTCCCCTGTTCAAATTCCAATTGGCTTAATTATGCAGATCCCTTGCAGAACATCCCTAACCCTCATACTCCTACTACTGCTACAACTACAACTCCTACCTTCACTTTCATAACAGCTCCAATTACGACACAAAACCCGTCTGTCTCTCCAGGCCGGCCTTCCCAGCTACTGTAAGCGGTTACTACCGCCTCAACCACAACAACCACGCCTTGCTCCCCCAACTCCTCTTCTTCGGGGAAGCACCCGACGTACAGGGGGATCTGGGCCCGGAGCGGGAAGTGGGTCTTGGAGATCCGGGAGCCCAAAAAGTCGACCGTGATATGGGTGGGGATGGGACGTCGTTGCATGCCAACGTGGTGATAGTGATACTGGCGAAGGGCTTCGTCGGCGAGAAGAAGCTGTAGAACATCTTCCGATTGAAATATTTCGGGGAACATGTCGTGGGGAGTCCGGACAACGTCGTTCCGCTCTACAGAGATGAGGATTCCGCAGCTGACCGTGATGGGGTACTCGGAGAGCATCACGAACCTGTTCACTTCGGAGATGAGGAGCCGGTGGCTGGCGGAGCTTCTCGACGGGAAGTTTAAGATATCGGCGGTCAAGGAGATGGAAAGTGAGGCGGCGGAGTGTGATGCGTTGGTAATTATAATAATATTTTTTTTGTTTTATTTATTTTAATTTAATCTGAAAATAGTTGGAAATTGTAAAAGAATAAAATTTTTTATTTTTTTATTGTCACGTCACTAAGTTAACGGTCAACTTTAAAAGTTGACTGCCACATCAGACGAAGTTAATGGAGTTGGATGGAGAGTGACCAAATTTGAAATATTTAAGTAATCTTAATGATCACGAATGAAATCAAATATTTTTAGTGACCAAAATTGAACCTTTTTAGTAAATACAGTGACCAAATATAATATTTGCCTTATTAATATACTTAATTAGTTATTATTGCATATAGTTCCCAGAGCTGGACTGGCTTTAAATGGCAAAATGAGCGTACAGAGCGGGAACAGGAGCCTAGTCTGATTTCTCCTTCCTTCCCCTAAATTGCAGCAGTTCCCTCCTGGAGAGAGGCACGCAGAGCAGTGTTTACCTGTGAATCGGATAGCTTTGCTCTTACTCCTCTCAAATTCTCTCTCCTTCTCCTTCCATTTGAGATCTGAGCGTTTCTCTTTACACTTTGCTTGGCGCTTTGTGACCTGCTACCTGCTCGCTCTCCTTTCTCCGGCCCATTCCTCTCTTCTGCGACCGTTTTGCAGGTATGTTGCTTTCCCGCGATCTACGTTTCCGTGAATTCTCGACTTTGTTTTTGCTTCCGATTTCTGCTCTGTTTCTGTTTCTTCCGTCTTCGCTCTTTCCTATTCGCCATTTTGGAAGCTCTTTCCCACCTCGAAAAACGTTTGGTACTGGTCGTCACTTTTACGGCCGTCATATCTCATCGTTGTCAACCTAATTTCACGTCATTATGAAGTCCATTGTTTGGATCCCTTCAATGTGGCGAGGAGACCAGGCCAGCAGACATCTGTTTGACTAGCCGATGACTGAAAGATTGGAGGTGTTGCTAGATTGATGATACAGGATGTGTGTCACTGTCAGTGGCAATACAGATGTACTATAGATGAAATGTCTGCTATTAATCTGTGACTTAGTCAAATATGATGATGGTAGAAAGTCAATTTTGACCCACTTGGGGCAAGGGTTTTACCGTATAGTATAGTCGTGACTTGACTAATTCATTCAGGGGTTGCATTTGGTTTCCAGTGCTGGCTCAAATGGCTCCTCCTACTGAGGCTCAAAACAAGGCTCCTGTGGCCGCTGTGCCATACTCGCACCCTCCTCTCAATGAGCGGATACTTACCTCTATGACTAGGCGGTCTGTCGCTGCTCACCCGTGGCACGATCTTGAGATAGGTATCCTTAAGATACCGCAGGCATGCAGATCAATGTTCGATTGCTTTTGTTTCTTTTCGATGTCTGAACTTGGTCTCTTTGTTTTCTTCTTTCTTATTATCCCATCCAGGCCCTGGAGCTCCCAAGATATTCAACTGTGTAAGTAGATGTTCATCTTTCACTCATTCCATGGTCTCACATAGGGGGATGTTATGTATGTTGGGTTTTAATGATAATAATGTTGCTTCGATTCATGATCATCCAGCTCTTTGAATTGTCATTCCTTGCTTTTCCGTATTAACTGATCCCGTTGGTGTCTCAGCTTTCGTTCTATCCTGTTGACAGTATATATATATAAACTAGCATGACTCAACATGTTGTTTAAGATGGATACGCATTCTCTGTGATTGTTTGATATGTGTGAACCCATGCATGGACCATCTTGCAGGTGGTTGAGATTGGAAAAGGCAGCAAGGTGAAATATGAGCTTGACAAGAAGAGTGGGCTCATCAAGGTTATAACACGTTGCTAGTGCTCAAGCCTTGTTTTTTTTTCCCCCCCTTTAATTACTACTTTATTTATTATATGTATCACATACCGAAACATTACTTTTGGCAGGTTGATCGCGTGCTTTACTCTTCAGTTGTGTATCCCCACAACTATGGCTTTGTCCCACGTACTCTGTGTGAAGACAACGATCCCTTGGATGTGCTGGTTATTATGCAGGTATATGCCCTCCTGTGTTGCTTTTTTCTTTACCTGACTTCACTTCCAACAGACGAGTGATGATCTTGGCAATACTTGTATGTATGAATACCCAGGAACCAGTCCTTCCTGGCTGCTTTCTTCGAGCTAAGGCCATTGGAGTCATGCCTATGATCGATCAGGTACATACATTCCCTTCGTCCTTAGGATAAACGACGGGCCATTTTAAAGCTATCACCTCTCTTGATTTTGTTCAAATCCTTATAGGGTGAGAAAGATGACAAGATCATAGCTGTTTGTGCTGACGATCCTGAGTACCGCCACTACAATGATATCAAGGAGCTACCACCCCATCGCCTAGCTGAGATTCGTCGCTTCTTTGAAGACTGTAATTCTTCCTTGTTTGCTTACCGCGTTGCTGATTCTCAGGAGGCTTTTTGACCTCTTTTTGGGCTAATGTAGGAGGGAATGTTGTGTTCCTTGGCATTTAGTGATGTTAGATAAGAAGAACGAAAACAAGGAAGTTGCTGTGAACGACTTCCTCCCAGCTACTGATGCCTTCCAGGCTGTTCAGCATTCAATGTAAAGCCACAACCACATGACATGACTCTCCAATTGCAGCGGCCCATGTGTTTATTATATATACTGATATTGCGACTGCATTTTGTTGCTTGTAGGAATATGTATGCTGACTACATCGTTGAGAGCTTGAGGAGGTAGTCTGTATCTCCACACCATACTTCTGCTGACAGTTTCATCCTATAGCGTATGCAAAGCTGCTGCTGCTGCTGCTGCATATACATACAGATCATAGATAATCACTTGCCAGAATTTGGATTTTGCCTGTGATGTGTTTGCTCTAAACCCGAGGATATACCATTTCCATTTATCACAAGTTCGTGTGACTGCTTTCCTTATGAATTCAAACTCCAAGGTGATGTTGACGAAAAAAATTATCCTGCTGCTTCGCGTGTTGCTAAATACGAGAATTGTTGTAATGAAAAGTGAGAACAAGGGCTTGGTCTAGCCTTGAACATAGAGGTTTTAGCGGTGTTATTAAAGCCGAGCACCGACCGGTAAAATCGTCACTCGGTCATAAAACCGGCTTGGAACAGTCTAAAAGTCGCTCCGGTTTTACGTAGAGGTTGACGAGCGGTCGAGGCGGTTAACCGCTCGAGCCGATTGAGCTGCTTGTCCAGTTTTTGCCATTAATTAGCTAAATTTAATTAAAAAAATTACTGAAAATTGAAAATTGAAATAACCCAAAAACGTCGGTTCTCAAACTGAATCCTTATTTCCGTTTCACAATTTCGAAGGAAAGAGACGAGTTCTGATTAAGCAATGTTGACTATTTATACTGATAACATTTATTAGGTACCGATTCTCTTACGGTTTTTAAACAGTCTAATGTCGGTTGGACCACTAAAGTGCGAGCCGTTCGCATTACCGGGTCATGCTCCGGTTCGATTCTGACATTGGGTTTTAGGTTCGAATCATAGAAAGATATTTGCTGTCTATTCCCGACTTGTAATTACAAAACCAATGAGCTTGGGCTGCTCCTGCTTCTCGTTGGTTCCCCGCCATTTCCACTCTAATGTCGGGTTCACCTTACACTTCTTCAACTTCCACTCCACCAGCACCGGGACCAATTTGTTTTCCCCTTTCTTCACTTCTCCTCCTTGCCTCCGCTAGCTCCTTTCCCGTGATAGGAGTCAGAGAGTTCGGTTTATGTCCTCGTCACGTGGTATCAAAGGTGTCGGATTGCTCCAGGTCATGCACCTCCCCACACACACTTAGAAAACAACACCAAGTCTAGCATAAGCAAGGCACACACACTTTCAAAACTTGAAATTAAAAGCTAGATTACACCAAACAACTTTTTCAAGATAACAAACGGTTGTCCCCGGTAACGGAGCCAAAAACTTGACCCGTCCTGAGTATCACAATTAATTCCCTCCTAAGGTCCAAGTATAAACCTTAGTAGGGTGAAATACATGGCAAGTATGTTTAAATATCGACTCGGGCCGGTCCGTGTACCCCTACTTCAATTGTTTGAAACATTATCTAGCGAATCGGTTTTGGTTGAAAAGTTTGCTAATTAAAGTAAAGTAAGGCAAAAGTAAATGGTTTTGAAAGCTCTATGAGAAGGATCACTTGGGTGTCGCTTCCCCCTAACTACTACCATGGCACAAGGAATTGAATTAATTGTTACAGGCAAGGTGACCGCGAACCGCTAGGAAACACAACTATGGTCGTAGACCGCTCTCTCGTTTTCCAAACCAAGGGATACATTATAGGCTACTCAAGTATCCCTCTTGGTTAAGGCAATCGATGGTTGACTTACTCTCTCACTCAACCCAATGGTTGGTTGGATTAATCACGCTTAACCAAATTACTTAATTCAACATAGAGGTTTGCCCTACATTAACCTAGATATGGCTTGAAAAGCCCAAGGAATCCAAACACAATTGAGCATCCCTTGAAAGGGGGGTTTTCCCACTAGTCTAGGTTAGAATGGCCAATTGGATTGCTAAGCACAAACATGCACAATCAACATGAAAAATACTTCAATCATTGAATTAAACAACACCCATAAACAATCATTCAATTCACACAACAACTATATGGCAAATAGATAGGGTTTCACAACACCCAAGTGAAAAAGGAAACTACTCCATGCTAGAAAGGGGAAGAACACAAGAGGAAGATGTAGAAATCATCATGGTGATGCCTCCAATCCCCGTTGAGCTTGTATTGATCTACATTCTACATACATTCCATCCAAGGGCACTAGTAGCTGGAAAAAGGTAGAGGCTAATAGAAGAGAGAGAAAGAGAGAGAGAGCGGTATCTTCAATGGCACCCGCAGATTGACACACGCTACTGACACGCCAAAACACAACACAAATCTGCGAGCAAGTGTAATCGCAGACTGGGAATGCAGTAACAGGCAAGTTTTATTATCAACCCGGGGTCTAGATCTACTGCTTACTCAGTGATTCTCTATTATCTAGCCAACTAAAGTAAGTGATTGTTGTTTAAAAGCAAAAGCAGAAAGAAAGCAGGAATTGATACGGTTTTCTCAAGCAGGTAAGAATCACTCGGGAATGAGTCCCCCTAGCTCCTTAGTTAGGCTTCAATTGTATTTCCCTGGGTTGATTTACTGTTGATTAGACTGCGGAAGATCCGACAGTAGCTTGGAATCTCTTAAGCTGACCAAGCCCTCTCAGTCTATCTACCCGGCAGACGACTAGTCTTCACCGGGATAGAAAGCTGAAGCAGTAAGAACAGAACTCCACTACTGGAATTGGATTCCAGTACAAAGCAGTAAACTGGCTAACTCTCGTATAGCCAATCTCCTACTATCGAATGATGAGACTCTAGCAACCTAATCAGATTCTATCTATCTCAGATTGCAGCAGGAATCAGGAAAAGTTGATCAGACTTCAATTGACTCAATAAACATGCATCATTCGGTTAAAATCAAACAGTAATATCATCCCAAGTCATTACAATCAATCCCTAACACATAGAACTAGGGTTCTTCATCCCCAAGTGAGAGAGGGGTTCTCCTCCATAGAGAGAGCGAGGAAAACAAGATACAAAGCAATCATACTCATAATTATGGGAAGAATCTGCTCTGGGATGATGATTTCCACTCCTATGACGATCTCCAAGCTTGATTTGATGAAACCCAGCTCTAAGATAGCTTCTAGGATGTGTTCTTCGTCCTTTCTCTCTCTAGGGCTCTGTTTTTGCTCAAAAAGTCCGATTCCCTCTCTTGCAGCCCGAAATTGGATTAAAACCAGGAAATCCCGACTCACACGGGCTGGGCCACACGGCCGTGTGGCATACCCAATTGCCCGTGTGAGTCAAAACGCTGCGTTCCAATTAGTTCGATCTTCAGGCTTCCCACACGGCCAGGGTCGCACGGCCGTGTGGTATTTCCATCTGCCCGTGTTTGCTCTCGGCGAAACTCGCACGGCCAAACCACTCCTTCACACGGCCGTGTGGACATCAGGGCAAGCCGTGTTTGCTCTCGCACAATCTCACACGGCCAAAGTGGTCACTTGCACGGCCGTGTGAGTTGTGGGTGCGCCCGTGTGGCCTCCTTTTTGACTTGCCTCGCGCCCGATCTTCGTCCAATCGACCCCAAACTCGCTCCCAAGCCTCCATTCACGTACTAGACCTGAAATATCACAAATAAATACAACCTAGCGTGAAATCGGCCTAAAACACGAGAAATCACATCTCAAACGGTGTAAGAACAGGGGTAAAAACATGTGTAATTAACGGTCTATCAGCTACGCTACTGTTCCCTCTCCTCCATTTCAGTTCTTTCTTTTGCCTTTTTCCAATTCTCCCGATTCTTGATTCAACTTCACAATCCATCACTAGACCCATCGACAGATAGTCACCAAAGTGTTGTTACTTGTCCGAAAGAACAAGTGAGGTAACATAACGCTTCCTTATTCTGCTCCCCTCTCTACGCTTGAGTGAGCGACCGACTGCGCCACGCTAGCCTCTGGGTTTTGCCTCGGAGGTTAAAGGTCAGATCAGAACACAAAAGATTTTTCCTTTTGATTTTGTCATGATCTTCATAATCAACCACTTGGAGCAAACCCTAGCCTTCTTTCTTCCTTGGTTCGTTCTTTCTCTCTCTAAAATTTGAAGAAGAAGACACTTTCTCACTCTTGGGCTCTCCCCTCTCCCTTCCTTTCAGCTCACATTATATACCAGGATCGGGCTCAGTTCACGATCGTGAACTCTTCAACGCGCCCGTGAACACGTAACGTGATGTTGAAACGCACTGCTTCGCCATCAGGAGTTCACGGTTTGGCCTCAATCTTCACGGTCTTGTTGACCGTGAACTCGTCTCGCATTAGTAACTGTGGATTTCTCCCTGGACGCATCGAGTTTCACGGTTTTGGGCTTCAGTTCACGGCCATAGTGGACCGTGAACTCCAATGCTAACCCGTGAACTCCGCCAGGTTCACACTCTTTGGCCGACCTTCGCCTTTTCTTCCAACTTTCGACTCTGGGACTGGTTTCACCTGTTGGATCTTGAAAGACACTAAAACGCACAAAACCTAGTGTAAAACCACGCTTTTAGGAGTTCACATGCTACGAACGCCAAGGTAAACGGGGATAAAATGTGTACAATTAGGCCCAAATCAATGGTTGTCAAATTCAATAAGTAAAAACAAGGAAAATAAATGGAATTATTCCATGATGCTTGAAAAATTATAGAAGTGTGGGTGAAAAGAGTTGTTGGTTTGAATTACTATCTCAAAAACCTATAATGGGAGTAGACGATGTTCATGGCTAAAATGAACACAACAATGAGAACTAGTGAAAGGATAATAGTTAGTTGTGTGACATATATTGTCTTAGTATACAAGCAAAACCGACATTTCAAACATATCACATCTACCGATTGGTGAGTATACTTGATATATGTTCACTAAGGAAGGTTCAAAGGGAAACCTACATATCCACATGCAACTAATTCTTAATCGAGAATCACACAGTTTTTTCATAGTTTTTAAAATACGAAATTCTCCATTCATGTGGGGGATTGTTTGGATTTTGAATGGTGTGAATGAGAATGAAAGGGAAAGATAGAAGAGAATATCTTGAAGTACCATGTTGGTATGATGTGGGAAGGCACGACCTTGAATTCGGTCAATTTGATTTAATATGTTGCTATCGGTTAAATTGCTTTGTGTAACCAACCGGACCAAACCAAGTTATACCAAATCAAACTGAACCGATATGGTAGTTGGAATAACCAAACCGGTCTAACTTCCATAGGCCGAACCGATGCAATGGTTGAGAAATTTTGAACCCACCAATGCAATGGTTGGGGGGTGTAACCACTCATAGGAAGAGTTGCCTCCCTTCGTACGCACTCCTTCATTCTCTATAAATAACACCTCTCTCCCCTCAGGTTTTGATAGGATTTTTCCATAACAAACCTCTGCCAAATTCCAAAATGATTTTCCTGCATTCTTTTC